AGAATATTTCAGAAAAAAAAGGAAAAAAGTTCAGAGACAACGGTCCATTTTAAACATGAATAAAAAGCCTAACCTCTGCACCTTATAAGTCATTTTAAAAAGTACTGATCAAGAATAATGATTTAAAAGTGTGCACTATCAGGGGAGCTCTGGTGGCCTAGTGGCAGGAAGCTGCACTGCAATCCCAGAGGCGCATGGTTCAAATCCACCAGATGCTCTGCCGGGAAAGGAGGGACACTCGCCTCCTATACCAGCCAGATCTGATTTGACGCACACACACAAAAGTGTGCACTATCAAGGAGAAAGGAAAGAAATGAAGAAACAATCTACAATCAACCATGAGGTTCCCTAGAGAAAGGTGTATAAAAATACAAGTTTTCGGTATATCATCTTCAAGAGAGGTGTGCAGAGCCATTTCTCCCTGCAGGCAACTCTTGGTACCCACATTAAAACGCAGCACAAAGGTGGTCTGGCATTTGGATAATGTCCTAATGGTGGTAAGGACCCACTGCTAGTCAAATCAATTCTGACTTACAATAACCCTCTTATCAGGCTTCCACGACTGTGGATCTCAACAGGCGGAGAATGGCCATCTTTCTATTTCAGAGCAGCTGGTGGTTTAACTGTCACCTTTTGGTTAGCATTTCAACACACTACACTACTAACATCTGATCTTATTTAAAAGCGTTTTGAATGAAACCATAGGAGGTCAAATTCATTAGCCTCTGTAACTTCACCTGTTCTTCCAATCAAAATTTTCATTATTTGACTGTTATGTTAGGGACAACTTTATGACATCAGCGCCTTTGAAACTCATTAGGCATTAGTAAAACTAAAAATACTGTCAGTGCCTTGTGAAGAAATACTCAAAATACGTTTGTTTAGATTTCAGTGTAACAGAAAACAAACCACTCTGGCTGAAGCATGGTTTCTGTCACCAAATATCACACATCTATGAAAGTATTCCTTAGGATGGAAAAATGGCTTTTCCAAAAGGTAAATTATTAGCAATCCCTTGATTTATATAAGCTCTCATCTCCTCAGTAAAATCCAAATGTAGAGGGCTAACCAGAAACGCCATAAAACTTTAAGGCTAAAGCAATTTTCCCGCCTTCAAAATACAGAACTTGTCCTTCCATTACTAAGAGACATTTCATTACCCAGGGTAAACCACGACTTAACTTTATACTTTTACACCTGAGACCTTCCCCTCCGCCAATCCAACAGCTTCCTAAACCTCCCCTAAACAAGCACTTTCACAGTGTCCCCCAAGTCTCCAAGAATGGCAGTCCAAAATGGCCAAAAAATTCTGCGAGAAAATGCCAGAACTACTGCTTGCTCACACATGACCCTTCCCTGGTGCCGACTCACCTTTCTCACAAACGCCTGGAGGAAGCACGTACGTGCACCTGGTGCGCGTTATGCCCACTCCTCACGATGAAATCCAGTCCCTGGCAGTAAATCCGGGCGACTCACCTACCATCTAGCACAACCCTACTCCCCCAGTCAACCACACAGGTCCAAGCGGTTAACAGAGTCCCGAGGCACTTGACGGCTCCCTGTACCCAGGCACCTTCCTTTCTCACTTAGTCCCCGTGGAAAGCTCAAAATACACCTCGAAAATCCCCGCCCAGCGTGCTGCCAAAGCCTGTAGGCAGAGAGCCACAGAGTTAGCTGTTCGCTGCTTCTGGAGGGCCTTCGAGACCAGCACCCTAAAACCAAGATGATTCTGGGGGTGTGACCTGGGCTGCTCCCTCCCCCCACCGGTCTCCCCTCGAGGGGAACCCCCCGGTTGTGGCGGCTATACTCACCAGACCAGGAAGCACAGAAAGAGGCAGGTGACCAGGGCCAAGGCCCGCGGGTACTTCTTCATCTTCTCCTCCTTCTTCCCCCTGCCAGAAGGCGGCACATCCTCCCGGCAGCCGCTACTGCCGAGGCCAAGATGGAGGAGCCGGAGCAGGAGCGCGAGGATGGGACCGAGCGTCCTAAGGGCTGTACCGACCGCGGAGCGACTCCGCGGCGGCTCCCCTTCTGGTTTCTGTCTCCAAGGGCCTCGCAGAGGCGCGAATAGGGACGCTCCTTCACAGGAGGGCTCCAGGGGTTGTCGCTGTTGCTGCGGCCGCCTGCCCGTCCTCGCCCGCCTCCTCCAGCCGCCACTGCCGCCACTGCCGCCCCACAGCTCCCCCGCCCACCTCGGCTCTCGTTCCGTGCTGCCGGCGACCAACGGCCGCAGCGTATTCGCCTTCCAACAGCCAATCGCCCGCAGGGCCGCGACACCTCACACACCGATGAGCTGGAAGCAGACGCGTCACCCACGTCCAGAGGCGCTCCTCCCCCACCAGCCTCCACGCGAGCCACGCCCCTCTCCTATGTCTCCTGCGGCGAAACCGGAGGGAGGAGGGCTTCAAGCCCACAACCCAGCTGTCAACGCTCCGCCCACCTCAACTCCGCCCTCTGTGGCTCACATTTGGGAAGTCCGGGAGAAACCCCGTGACCCTAAACCTTCTTCCTTAAAATGACCCGCCTCTTCGCCTGGCTCGGTCCGAGTGCGCGCAACGCCCTTTGGGAATTGTAGTTTGTCGTTTCTCCCCCTTCCCCAGGCCCCACTCCCAAACCTTCTGTTGCCTCTTCAAGAATCCAGTTTCTATAGAGCGATCAACACTTTCGCTTCTCAGCGAGAACTTTATAACTGTTATACTTAGTTTTCTGGTTTAGAGTACAGCTTGGGGGAAAGTGTAAACTGATAAGGTAAAAACGCGAAAGTTGTACAATAAAATTTAAAAGGCATTTTCACAGCGTCAATAGGCTGGGCCTATTGAGGTAGAAACTGATTGGTAGAAGGAAAGGGATTTGTTAGGATTCTCTCCCCTCTGATTGGATGGAAAAGGCATTCTCTTCTCTCCACCTCGTCAGGAATTTCCCGTCCTACCTCCTCTATGAGGTGGATTGATTCAGTGACTGGGATAATTGGGATGGGAGTGTCAGAGACAGTGCGATTGATTGGCACATGACAGAGCGGAGTTTAGGGCTGTTGTACATAGGGTCGCTATGAGTCGCAGGCGACTCGACGGCACATAACAACAACAACACCTCCTTTCACGGTGGGGACCCACTGGGTCTCTTAGGGGTTGTCAGGCTTTTGGTTCTGTGTTGAAGTTGGTAGGAAAACCTCCAACTTAGGAAGCGAAGCTACTGTAGATGCTCCACCTCTTGGATTTCAGCAAAAGCGGAGAGAATTTCCACATACCTTGCTGACATCTGGAGCAAAAATAAGTAAACATTTTCTTAATTTTTAGTAACCGACACAGTGCCCACCCTATATATTTAGGATACCAAAGCCCCCCGAAAGGTTCGTGTAAGGGACCTTGTGCCTGAGACGCCAGAATGTTTGGCTGTGTTCTCTTCCTAACCGGCACCTGCACGTGACTTTATTGACTTGAAAAGTATCAACTGTAGAGGCTTCGGCTGTGGGTTGGGGGAGTAAGAAGCTGTTCAGCCTCCCTGAATTAATGTATTCCTTCATGTTTTCCGCATTCAAAATCTAACTCAATGCTCTCGAGTCAGAATCGACAGGTAGCTGTATCCTTCATCGGGTTTTCAGTGGCTTTAAACTTCCCAGGAGGAGATTTGCCCACCTTTTTCTCACAGACTTTCCGTTTGGCAGCACAACTCCTTACCCACTAAACCATTAGAGCTCCAACTCTTGAACCACAGAGTAATTAATTTTGGACTCTCACACTAGGAAATAAGTTATTAGAAAATCATTATTAAAATTATTAATTTGTTGTTATGTGCCGTCAAGTCGCTTGTGACTCATAGGGACCCTATGTACAGCAGCCCTAAAACCTCTATTCTGTGCCAACCTCATTGTGTCTGCCACACCTCCCCTTATTACTCCCGTCACTGTATCAATCCATCACTTCAAGGGTCTTCCTCTCTTGAGCTGTCCCTCCACCCTGCCAAGCATGACGTCCCTGTCCAAGGTCATTGCAATATGCTCAAAGTATGTCAGACAAAACCTCAGAATTCTTGCCTACAAGGAGCAGCCTGGTTTCACCCTCTCTAGGTTGAACCTGTTCTCCTAGCAGCCTGTGATATACTCTTCTCCAGCACCACAGCTCAAAGGTATCAATTATCCTTCTATCATTCCTAGTCACTGTGTAGCTTTATGATGCATAGCAAATTAATTGCAAAGACTCTGTCTGGCCTATGGCAGGTGCACCTTAGTCTCCAGACTGACATCGTTGCTCTTCTGTACTCTGGAGAGATCCCTGAAAGCAAACTTACCCAGTGCAATTTGTCTTTTGATTTTCTGGCTGCTGGTACCAAGAGTGTTGATTATGGAGCCAGCAAACTAAAGCTGTGAATAATCTCAATCTCTTTACCATCTATCATGATGCTGCCAATCAGCCCAGTGGTGAGAATCTTTGTTTTCTTGATACTGAGCTCCAATCCATATTGAAATATTATATATAGATATAGATGATAGAGAGATAGAGATATATAATATTCAAACTTTCAATCTATAAGTAGATTCTGAAGAAAGGGAAAGCAAGTAATGTTTAAAAAGAACCAAAAATTTTTTTTGGTTAAAGGTAGCCTAAGACTGAAAATTTAAATTCTGAAAAAAAAAATCCCCTCCATTTATCTTTCCAACTCTTCAATAATAGAATAATAAGCATTGGAGTTTTATTTGTTTCATTTTTCTTTCAAATGTCTTTATATTTTTCAATCGTCTATTTGAAGATGGGACTATTGCTACTGATAGTCCCAATAAAGGAAATATTTTCTAAAAAGTGAGACTTTACTGTTCCATTTCTGAGTAAGATTAGCTGAGTCTTTAATGCTGGGACAGCAATCCTGAAATAGCTGCACAAAGACGCACTGGTTGTCAGAGACCTTGGTTTCAGTCTTTCTTATCTTCTGTAAGAACTTGCACAACATACTTGGTAAATATCTGTTTCATAATCTTGAGAGAAAAAAATGTATTGCTTACTTAGAGTTTTATTTTGTTTTTAGTTCTAAATGAAACAATGCACATTAAAACGCTTAACTCTGAGTATGTTGTTATTGTTGATTGCCGTCAGTTGAGCACAACTTATAGCGACCCTGTGAACAAAATACCTGACACCTTTCTAGAACTATTGTCCTTTCTCAAAGTTCAGAGTTTCCAGAGGCATGTTGTTTAGGAAGTGGATGCCACTGCTCCTTCAACTCTGAGTATAACACAATAGAAAGTGGTAAAAAAAAAAATTAATATCTCACTTCAGGAACCATCATAATCATCACCATTATCCTCATTGCTAGATTTGACTAAAATGCCTTCTTTGTGCCAGTGATAATGCTACATACTGTGTGGATATAGAAATGAAAGGAGATACTGTGATGGAATGGATCACCTTTATATGGCCTTTTTGGCCATGGCCTTTTAATTCCCACCAAATGCCTAGGTGGCACTATGCAAATAAAATGCTCTTGACCAGTTAATGAGATTTGATAATTAGCTAGTAATCCAAATAAAGCCCAAGGCTCCCTTGTGGAGATGGGACTATGCAAATAAGATACATGGGACTTAGCAAGAGGATGTATCCATTTTATTATCCCTCATGAAAATGAAGTATCCTGGAAGTGGACAGGAGAGTACCTTATTACTATGAGGAAGAAGAGACAGGAGCGGAGTGTGTCCTTCGGACTAGGGTTCTCTGTGCTGAAACTTCTACACCTAGAAAACAAAGATCTCTAATAGCAGAGATGGAGGAAGGTGGTTGGATATGGCAGCAAGCATGGCAGTGAACGGACAGCAGCAGAGCTGGAAGACTGGCAGGAGATGGTGTAGGGGGCTTCCCAATGTGGAATGAGAAAGCTGAGAGGCTTTGGACTGGAAGCTTGCTGGCAGAGTGGGGTGCCTCTGGGAATTTCTCAGTGGTGCTAAATAGTTTTGTAATACTTGCCTAAGCAAGACAGAGACTGGACTTGGACAAGAGGTCTAAGGGGCCACCAGTTAGGGAAATGTCGGCCCTTGGACATGACTAAGAAATTACCGTGGTCTATGATCATATCCTTAGTTGTTATTTATATACTGTTACTTCCTTAATAAACCCCACAACTATGTGTCTTCTCCGAATTGTGTGTGGCCTCTGCAGTGAATTATCAAATTCCATAGAGAAATAGATAGTGCCGATAGAAATATGGTTGGTGTCAGAATTGGTAGAAGTTTGAAGAATGAAGATAAGTCTGACCGGAAGTTCAAAGGAATCAGCACTGGACCGATGCTGCTGATAATTAGAGAAAGAGTAGATGTGGAGGTCAGACATCTCTATGTCACCATTTTGACAGACACAATTCCTCTTTTTCCAGTGTGATCATCCATATGATGGGAGTTCAAAAAGCAGAGAGAATGCCAAGGAGGATTGTGCAAGAGGAAAGTGCTTTCCAGAGAAATATTCTGAATGGCCTACAATAAATTCCCATAGAAAGGTATTATTCCAAACAGTTACTGGCCTTCCCTAGGAGCGACACTGTTACTCTTCATTAATAATTCAGTGATGTGAAATGATTAATGTTTAATGTTCTCCTATGGAACAGGCTTCTCCATTGAGTTCAGTTAAATTGTTTGAGTCATTTAAGCTTGACTAAATGGCAGTTTCATAGTGGAAGGAAAAGGCAAAGGCTTTTCAACATCGTCTTGCCTTGAATAGCATCTTATTCTGATCCTTTAAAGACTTATAGACTGACACACTTTAATAGCCTTATCTTACTGTGCAAAAAGATGAGAAATTACTTGATCCATGTAATGATCTTGCCAACTGAGGCCTCATACCAGGATAATGACTGAACAACTGAAGAGGAGTGTTTCCTTCAATTATCCTAGTAATTGCTTCACTTATAAAGATAGTTTAAAAAGAGACATAAAGAGAGAATTTCAGGCAGGGAAAAGAATATTTTAAATTTTAAACTTAATTCAGAAAGCGAGTACTGCTGAGAGAGTTCTAGAAATACTTTCTTAATGCTCAAGTAGAATACTAATCCTTAGCAAATGTTCTTTATTTGCCCCTCTATCTCCATTTCTTTTTTTAAGTTATTATTAATTTCAATGAAAATTTACAGAGACTTTGGATTTCCATTCA